AATTAAAGTTTGTAATTCAAGAATTGTATTCTTGTAAACTAGTAACGATCTAAGTAAGCCACCCTCAAACATACAAAGATTAAACATTAAATACAGTACATAAAATGTTTCGTATGGTTCCTTAGGTCACAGTGGGACTATTGGATGATGCAGGTGTGAAATTTCTGTGTGAGATGTATGTACACAACATGTTTGTAAACAAATAGGCTCCTAAACGATGCCTCGTGGCGAGTATAGAATGTGCTCCTATAGTTACTGGTGGACGTAATTGTGGGAGAAATGTTTGATTTTTTCGGTTAGATAAAAAAATGTAAGCCGTACGCGATAAAACAGGCCTATTACCCCATACCACCATTTTGGGTCATTTTCAGGGAAAATTTTGGCTTGCGCATGCGTCGGAAAAAGTTTGCCGACATTTTGTTTTCACCGCGAACATCAGTATTAGGCATAGAACAATATACCTCCATATTCAAACTAATTACAAGTTTATTATGTATATTAAACGACCACAAATTCAAATCACTATGTTTTCTCAATCGTATGTGCTATTCAAATAATGAGTATGAATTAAATGTAATAATAGGCCTATATGTCATAGCATACGAAATTAGGACAAAAAGCCGTCACATCGGCAGTTCTTTCTTTTCGCGACGCCAGCCTACTTATACTTGGCTGGGTGGTCCATTCAGAGAAAACACAATTAGGCCTGGACTAGTTAGGCCTATGTGGTTAATTTGTTAATAATAATTATGTTTGTTTACGTTTAATCAACTGTAGGTTTTTGTTTATGGACATTATATATTTACGTGACTGTCACCATTTCGCCACAAAAATCACTTATTTATACACTATAAATTTTGATTCAAAATGTATTTACTATAAACATATTTTTACATATAAATTATATAGGCCTATATGTTAATATAACATTTAATATATAATAATTTTGGTCATATATATATATATTATGATTCAAAATATATTTACTATTAACATGTATATAGATTTTATAGGCCTATATATTAATCTGACATTAATTGATGTATAATAATTTTGGTCACCTTTATAATACATGAATATCCGAATTTCAAGTAACATGATTGTATTATAACATTAATGATGATGAAGATGATAATGATTGTGAGGAGGAGAATGTTGATGAATGTAATAGGAAATAGGAAGACTGCGTTTAAAGCTTCTTATATATCGAATTATAATATTCGATGTAAGTGCTTTCGCCATACTCGGTCACGTTTCTTGCAATTTCATTTCATTTTATCAGTCTCATACAACAAAAATGCATACTAACAAATATAAAAATGATTAAAACAGAGACTGGCTTCCCAAAAGGACATAAAACATTTTCGTCGAGTGAAAAAGAGTAAATATGGTTCAATTTTGGTTTGAGTACTCTGTGGTCATACAAACACATGCGGAGAAAAACTATTGTAAATCTGTAGATGTAAACACTTAGCAAGTAGGCAATTTCTCCGTGACCGATCTTCTGTACTTTACAATTTTGGCTCGGGGACTTCTTAAAACATAATATTCTGGTAAGTACTGTACATGTACTTAATTACGCTATCGTCAGCAGTCCGCACATATTGCATATTATTAGTCTTCCTGGTTACACCATAATAATAATAATAATCATCATAATAATAATAAAGATTTATAAAGCGCACATCTCCACCAAAGGTGCTCAAGGCGCATAGACAATTAAACCAACAAGATCCAAATAATTCCCAGAAGAATTTTCAGCAAAATCCAAATACCATACTACCTTTCCCCCAAACAAATTCTTCAAAACTGCAGACAAGGCTGTTAGGTGGACTGGATTCGGTGGTGTTGTGTACCAACATGGGTGTTTTCTGGACTCACTACGCCGGACACATGAAACGGTCACGAATCCAATCGCTACGCAAGTCTTCTGTTGATTGTTATTTGCAAGAAGTCTGAGTAGTCACGCGGACCGTCGCATGCGCTACGTCGGTTGTCTGAGCTTGTCTTTACTCAAGTAGATCTACAGATACGGTACTTCTATGTTTTTGCTTTTGGTTTTTGTTTTGTTTTGTTTAGTTTTTTCTTGAAGCAAGCATAGATGCTTCCACCTTACATACGATTGAAGGTGCAGATTATGTGGCCGCAGGCCTATACGATGACTGAACAAAACCAAGTATTTTTTCTAAAAATTCCAATGACATGCGAGCTAGGGCATATTATTCTCATGCAAGTGGTACACTACAATGATCACCATCTTCGTCGCAATCCTGATAGAAGGTGCCAACAAATTTTAACTAATGAACTCAATGATGTAAATATAGACTACAATAATTAACTTGCATTATACAATTATAAGACTGCATTTATAATTAACCAATTGCTTCATGAATCGTTTAGAAAGATTATTTACAAGGTTCTAACAACAGGGCACTATAGTGACGTACGAGGGTCGTACGGCCGACGAATCCAACTCGCTCTCTGTGAGCGTTAGGCGACGCCGTCTGCTGACTCTCGGTGCGAGTCTGAACAGATTAGGATTGCGTTAGCTGACGATCGTCTGGTGCAGTCAATGCCGTAGCCAGGATTTTTAAACAGTGTGTGACAATATCAGGGTGGATGCGTAAATTCAAATAATGTGGACCCATTTTCTTAAAATATGTCCCATTTTACTCAAAAATATGAATAATTTGAACCAATATTATTAAAAATTTTCCCATTTTACGCAAAATAGGCCTATGGGAAATCTGGACCCAATTTTTCTTTGTGGACCATGATAGAGAAATTGTGTGAGACTGTCCCAATGGGGTGCAGTTAGTGCCCAGCTTAAAAGTTATCTAAAGGAATATGTCAGGCTAGAACTATTGACAAACAATCATGATATACCAAGTCAATTTCTGATTAAATAAGCTTCAGTTATAGAATTATATTCTTGTAACCTTTTATACCTGACTAAAATAGAATATATAGTAAGGTTAGCGTTATTGTCTGAAATATCTAATTAACGTTTATAGTGTTTGTTGGAATTAAAGTTTGTAATTCCAGAATTGTATTCTTGTAAACTTGTAACGATCTAAGTAAGCCACCCTCAAACATACAAAGATTAAACATTAAATACAGTACATAAAATGTTTCGTATGGTACTTCACTCACTCATAATTTGAAATAACTGTTTATTATAGGTATTAGTTCCTTAGGTCACAGTGGGACTATTGGATGATGCAGGTGTGAAATTTCTGTGTGAGATGTATGTACACAACATGTTTGTAAACAAATAGGCTCCTAAACGATGCCTTGTGGCGAGTATAGAATGTGCTCTTATAGTTACTGGTGGACGTAATTGTGGAAGAAATGTTTGATTTTTTCGGTTAGATTAAAAAATGTAAGCCGTACGCGATAAAACAGGCCTATTACCCCATACCACCATTTTGGGTCATTTTCAGGGAAAATTTTGGCTTGCGCATGCGTCGGAAAAAGTTTGCCGACATTTTGTTTTCACCGCGAACATCAGTATTAGGCATAGAACAATATACCTCCATATTCAAACTAATTACAAGTTTATTATGTATATTAAACGACCACAAATTCAAATCACTATGTTTTCTCAATCGTATGTGCTATTCAAATAATGAGTATGAATTAAATGTAATAATAGGCCTATATGTCATAGCATACGAAATTAGGACAAAAAGCCGTCACGTCGGCAGTTCTTTCTTTTCGCGACGCCAGCCTACTTATACTTGGCTGGGTGGTCCATTCAGAGAAAACACAATTAGGCCTGGCCTAGTTAGGCTTATGTGGTTAATTTGTTAATAATAATTATGTTTGTTTACGTTTAATCAACTGTAGGTTTTTGTTTATGGACATTATATATTTACGTGACTGCGACCATTTCGCCACAAAAATCACAAATTTATACACTATAAATTTTTATTCAAAATTTATTTACTATAAACATATTTTTACATATAATTTATATAGGCCTATATGCTAATGTGACATTAATATATAATAATTTTGGGCATATATAAGTCTATATATTATGATTCAAATTATACATTTAACATGTATATAGATTTTATAGGCCTATATATTAATCTGACATTAATTGATGTATAATAATTTTGGTCACTTTTATAATACATGAATATCCGAATTTCAAATAACATTATTGTATTATAGCATTAATGATGATGAAGATGATAATGATTGTGAGGAGGAGAATGTTGATGAATCTAATGGGAAATAGGAAGATTGCGTTTAAAGCTTCTTAGGCCCTATAAAAAATATTATTAGTTTATCCCCCTATCTGGGCAGGAAAAGTGATGAGGCTTTTTTTAAATTTTTTATTTTGCTAAAGCCAAATATTACCCTTGGGTTGTTTGCTGGTGCATTGATATTCAAAGTAAAATATGATTTAGATAATGCAAACAATATCTACTAACTACTTAATAAATAAATTTAAAATAAATAAATAAATAAATTTTTAAAAAAATTATTATTTTTTTTTTTTTTCAAATTTTTTTTCCAGTACCATGAAGGCATGCGCGCGAGGGTGATAAACTAATAAAAAATTGTATTGGGCCTTATATATCGATGTATAATATTCAATTTAGTGCTTTCACCATACTCGGTCATATTTCTTGCAATTTCATTTCATTTTATCAGTCTCATACAACACAAATGCATACCAACAAATATTTAAAAAAAGTAAAACAGAGACTGGCTTCCCAAAAGGACATAAAACATTTTCGTCGAGTGAAAAAGAGTAAATATGGTTCAATTTCGGTTTGAGTACTCTGTGGTCATACAAACACATGCGGAGAAAAAACTGTATTGTACATCTGTGATGTAAACACTTAGCAAGTAGGCCATTTAGTCCGTGACCGATCTTTTGTACTTAACAATTTTGGCTCGAGGACTAATAATAATATTCTGGTAAGTACGTGTACTTATTACGCTATCGTCAGCAGTCTGCACATATTGCATATTATTAGTCTTCCTGTTACACCATACTACCGTTCCCCCAAACAAATTGTATTGGATTCTTCAAAACTGCAGACAAGGCTGTTAGTGGACTGGATTCGGTGGTGTTGTGTGTACCAGCATATGTTTTCTGGACTCACTGCGCCGGACACATGAAACGGTCACGAATCCAATCGCTACGCAAATCTTCTCTTGATTGTTATTTGCAAGAAGTCTGAGTAGTCACGCGGACCGTCGCATGCGCTACGTCGGTTGTCTGAGCTTGTCTTTACTCAAGTAGATCTACAGATACGGTACTTCTATGTTTTTTGCTTCTGGTTTTTGTTTTATTTTGTTTAGGTTTTTCTTGCGCAATTTTACTGGTCCTAATTGGAAATAAGGTAACTTTTCTTGGTAATCATTGTAATCAAGGTCTTTTACATTGCGCAATTTTTTAAAGTATTTTTTAATCAAAATGTTGCAGGCCTGTGTCTCAAATTCCATGTCTTTACTATTTATACAGTTTTACTATCTCTGATACGAGAGATTATTTAGTATGGCCTAACATCAGTCTAAAAGCACCTAGGCCTGATCATTTTATTCTTTTTACAAGAAAGAATAATCGATATTGCCATTTTGTAATTAAGGAGAGCTTTTACGTTGCAGGTACCGTATGTATTTCAGCAAACGTTTTTGTAACGATGATTATAATTGTTTATGGTTAGCCATATTATAAAATGCGGTATTGCCTAATTCATTTTAATATTTTTCGAGATTCATTCTCTTTAGTCGAAGCCTCTGACATGTTTTATGGACTACAGTATTAATTCGATTCGATTCCTGATCTAGGGGATATTCTACGAATTAGATAATGATATGGTCGATCTATTGAGTTGCTCCACTGACATAAACCCTGTTTAGAGACTACCGGTATGTATTGACAAACATATTTCCCGAGGGATTGTCGTTCTTGGGACTTTTCTAAAAATATTCTTAAATTTCATCTAGGCATACTATATTTCAAGACCACTTCAGACACCAAACAAGACAGCGATCAAATGCCCTTGTAAAAAATGGCACCAACTAGGAAAACAAACAAAAAATAAATTGCGAGTTTAAAAAGATAAAAAGTGACCGAAATTTACTTTAACAAATTATTTTTAAAAAATATTTTGACATTTATTATTTAACATGATATTATAAGCAAAATCAATACATTTTGTTTGCTTTTTTCCGAGCTCATTTATTTTATATAATATACATATATTATTTTGTTTTGGTTTCCACTGTTTAAAAAAC